TCACGCCTCATCCGCGAGGGACTGTGGTGGCCAGTCCACAGTCTCCTCTGTCTCGACATTCGTCACATCCACCTCCTCGGAGGAAGATAGATGAAGCGTCTGGCTCTCTCGCTGGCTGGGGGGGGGGGGGGGGGCGGGGGGGGGGGGGCGGGGGGGGGGGGGGGGGGGGGGGGGGGTTCATTTTTAACCAGAAATGTGCACGCTTTTCTGATGTTTGTTTCAGTTTTCCGTGTCACGTTTTTTTGTCTTTTTCCCGTGTGACTTGAAATGTGTGCGTTTTGAATCGTTGTTAATAAAGGTGAGACCCGTGAGGGAAAAAAACACAATCAGTTGTGGGACTAGTCTGTCATAAATTGCATACCATTCATTTCTGAACTTTCTACCGTCCATTACTGGAAATGAAATGGTTGATATGTCCCGATCTCAATAAAGTTTACACGCTTTCAGTCCGTGAACTGGATCTCGATCAGGACGCGCACTGTCTGTGGAAGTTTGGCCAGGACCGGTTCCAGAAGAAATCACTGAGGCATTTTTGTCCCATCCATTGCTTTGGTTATCACTGTGTCAATCTCTGATATTTCTATCATATAAATATGCTGATGTAATTCTTGAAACGTTGGAGCATGTACGTGTCCGAAAAACGCAAGTTTCATACAAATTCGGAATGGATTATAGCCTAGAAAGCGTGCAAAACGCACTCCCATTATTATCACTAAAAGCATCACTCATCTTACTTCATTGCGATCTCACAAAGTTCCGTTATAATCAATGAAGCCTTCTAAACTACACAATGAATCTCTTATTTAGGCTATGTCACGTCTGCACTTATGAGATGATTCACAAGCGTGCAAAACTCCAAGGCTTTCAACGGTGAGTGAATTCTGAAAACTCTAACATTTCTGATTGGCCACTGCGTTGAAGAGATCAACAGATATGTCTGTGATTGGCTACATTGTTCAATGCCGCGAAAACACATTAGATGGTTCGCCAGATCTTTAATTGCTTTTGCTTTTGTTCCGTACAACCGGGCCTGGGCTTGGCTAACTGCTCCAATTGCAGCGGGACTGACATCGGGGATTCCATGACTAACGATAGGTTTTTT